GGTGAAAGGATGGACAATGCTGCACAGAATATTTAAAATAAAATAAGATTTGATAAACAAGGTCCACTGCAAAGGAATGACCTCTGAGTTGGTCTGGATTCTTACATTCTATTTGGTTGCATCTGTTCCAGCGTCTCCATTCTATTTATGCTCTAGTTATCATATTTCTTCTCCTTAAAATTAGACCTATGAAAGCTACAGACACAGTGAAGTAGCAGCATTTTACACAGAAGTTAACATTATTCAAACTTACCTGGGCAGGCCACCAAGGTCCCACTCTGAGCATATATACGGTCCGGGACGCAGAATGACCCATAGTCCGACTTCTTCTGCTATCCCAAGAAAAGCCCTAGAGAAGCAAAGGAGAAATGGCAACAGCGCTGCAAGGGCAGAGCAACCTCAAATTTAGCAAAGGAAGCTCAAAATAGCAAGAGCAATGGCACTTAAAACTCATACACCGCTTCACAGCCCTCTCTAAGCAGTTTACAGAGTCAGCATTTGGCTCCCAATAATTTGGGCCCTCATTTTACAAACCTCGGAAGGATGGAAGGCTGAGTCAACCTTGAGCTAGTCAGGATCAAACGCTTGGCAGTTGGCAGAACTAGCCTGCAATACTACATTCTAACCATCGTGCCACCACGGCTCAAAAACTAACTTTATCTAAAGACCTAATTACAGGACGTAGGGATTATTTAAAAACCCATGACATTTTCCTGCCAACTAAATTCTGTTGATAGTTTTGCAAAAGTTATAGCTATCAAGGCTCAAATATAGTTCTCTCTCTGTCTTTCTCCATCAGGATCTTATTCTGACAGTCATATAGACGTTCTATCGAGATCCTACTTTTATTTATACGCCTCAAAGCAGCATACTTAATGCCCAATCGCTTTTATTACAGCCCATAGCACAAGAACCTCCTGCGTTTCTAATTTCCAACTCAAGCTGTCTCTCCAACTTTTTTACTTCTAAAACCACCCCTCCGTTTCCCAGTGCTGTATAGGAATAAGAAACTCAGCATTGTGTAAATTTGATCTCAGATGAAAACAGATTCTTAAGATTACTAGATTTGTTTTGTAAGGAAAAGGAAAGTCGCCCGATACATACTGCACATCCAAATTTCCGCTGAAGTCAAACTTCCCTCTGACGGCCTCATGAAGGTTCCACGGTATGTACCTGGAACGAGCAGCGAATAAGTATCTCCTAAGTAGAGGCACATGACCGATCCGATTTTACGACTTTTGCAGCACACGTTAAGCCAAGGTCTTCAAATTTGGCAAGACTTGTGGATTTCAACAAAATGAGAAATAAATGCTAGGATGTATTATAGCAACACCACTTAGACTTATATACCGCTTCACAGTGCTTTACAGCCCTCTCTAAGCAGTTTACAGTCAGCATATTGCCCCTAACCATCTGGGTCCTTCCTTAGCCAGCAGGATGCTGCAAACAGCCATAAAGGCAACCTGGGTGCTAAGCGCCCCTTGAGTGTAGGATTCCTACAACCATCGAAACTACAGAATCTGGGTTGTAAGTACCCTCTGGGTGTGTGCGTCAGAACTTTGAACGGCTGCTAAATTAAGCTGTTAAGTCAAGAACTACCCAGTGAAATCAGCAATTACTATGGAGACATAGCTGAAAGGGCCATGAAGAGCATACAAGCCTTACGTGGTGAGGGTGTTCAGGCCGCAGGCCTTCATCTTCACCAAGCGGTCCCTCCAATATTCCCGGGGGATGCGGAAATAGTGCATTGAGCCGCCAAGGATGCGAAAGGGCTTCTCCTCCAGCAGGAACTGCGAGTGCTTGGCCTGTAAGCCCAGCACTCGGCCCCAGAACCGCATGGGAATTATGTTCGTCAAGTTGTACCTGGACAGGAAAGAAGGGAAAGGACAGCAGTAGCAGAGCCAGGTAAGAGAGTCAGTTTCATCTAGTGGATCAAGCGCCAGGCTAGAAAGTGGGAGGCCGTGAGCTCTAGTCGTGCGGTAGGCATGAAAGCCATCTGGTTCATTTTGGGTAATCGCCCCAAACCGGCTTTCATACCTAAAATGGACCAGAAATCCCAGTCTCCTGGTGATTGGTCAAAGGACACCTTGATGGCTTTCATGCCCAAGGTGTGATTAGAACTCCCAATCTCCTGGTGATTGGCCAAAGGACACCCTGATGGCTTTCATGCCCAAGGTGTGACTAGAACTCCCAATCTCCTGGTGATTGGCCAAAGGACACCCTGATGGCTTTCATGCCCAAGGTGTGACTAGAACTCCCAATCTCCTGGTGATTGGCCAAAGGAACCCACTTGGATTCATGCCCAAGGTGTGAATAGAACTCCCAATCTCCTGGTGATTGGTCAAAGGACACCCTGATGGCTTTCATGCCCAAGGTGTGACTAGAACTCCCAATCTCCTGGTGATTGGCCAAAGGAACCCAGTTGGATTCATGCCCAAGGTGTGACTAGAACTCCCAATCTCCTGGTGATTGGCCAAAGGACACCGATGGCTTTCATGCCCAAGGTGTGACTAGAACTCCCAATCTCCTGGTGATTAGTCAAAGGACACCCTGATGGCTTTCATGCCCAAGGTGTGACTAGAACTCCCAATCTCCTGGTGATTGGCCAAAGGAACCCAGTTGGATTAATGCTCAAGGTGTGACTAGAACTCCCAATCTCCTGGTGATTGGGCCAAAGGACACCCTGATGGCTTTCATGCCCAAGGTGTGACTAGAACTCCCAATCTCCTGGTGATTGGTCAAAGGAACCCAGTTGGATTCATGCCCAAAGTGTGACTGGAACTCCCAATCTCCTGGTGATTGGTCAAAGGACACCTAGCCAGCCAATTTCCATGCTTATTTTGCCTCTTCTCTCCTATATTTAACCCATTTCATGGAGTCATGCTATAACCTCTCTCTTTCTGCCCCTCTTTGCCCTTTCCCAAGCTCACCCTTCCAAAGAATCTTTCTATTTCCCTTCAGCATCCATGATTTAACTTTGGGAACTCTCCTAACTTTAGGAACGTCATCAATTTGCGTTATCCTGGATCTCGTGGGGGGGGAGGGGGGGGAGGAGAAGGAAAAAGGAACCACAGCTTTCAGGAGGAAATCCTCAACCCAGACTTGAAAACTCCAAACAAGGAAACCAGCAGAGAGTAGAAAATGGGAAGCTGCACAATGATGGGTCTCTGCAGGGGTGTGAACGCCGACCCCGTTTTCAGACACAAATGTTTAAAATCTTCCCAACAGTTTGCAACGGAATTCTGGCAGCACCAAGCTGCGTTGTCAAACAAGAAGCAGATATAAAGAGGCAGAGAGAATCCGGAATTATGCCATGCTCTGTTTCCTTAACCAACAAAACATGTTGCTTTTTTCCCTTCCAATGTTTCACGACGTAAAACTAGTGAACCAGAAGAAAAAGAATACGATCTCTGATACCTGCCTATTTACAATAACTGAATAAAAATGGCCCTAATCCAAAGAATCTTCCAGGCTGTCTATTCTTCTTGTGGGTTTTTGTGCTCTTCAAGACGCTTGGGTTCAACTGTTCGGACCCAAACCTGGTTCCAAGAGAGCAAACATAAGACAAAGGCAGCAGCACAACCTTTTAATGTTTCATCTATGAATCCTGTTTCTTCACAGATAAAAGGCTGCTGCAAACTAATTAGCTCTAACAAGAAAGAGCCTTGCTAAGTTTTGGCAAGGCTGCCAAAAACCAACAGATAAGAAATAGTTTACAACTCAAGAGTCTTCAAATACCAACTGTAATGTCCACGAGGCTGTTTCAAACGTCTTTGCTTCCTGCAAAGAACATTTGCTTCACAGCTGGCTTTTATCTTCTTGAAGGAGGGGCCACTATCTTGCAGCCTTACTCCCGAGTTGCCCGTGCTGTTGTAGCTGCTCTTTCCTGCGAGCAATCCTGCGTACACGCGCACTTGGTACAGGCTCCTCGGAAACCTCCTCATCGCTGTTGCCAGCCCCCACAATCTCTGAAGGAAGACCTAATGGTCCTGGCCCTTCATCTGAGTCCTCGCTCTCCTCAGCCGTCCGCATCTGCTGCCGGCTAACCACAACATCAATTTACTATCTGAAATCACTGCAGCAGCCATGCAGAAACTCTAGGAACTGAGAATGCTAGCTTGTCTACGTACCGGGGTGATGGAGACAAGTTTTAGCAGGGATTTGGGGCCATCTTATCCCCAAGGTGTTGAATACAATACTCAACAGAACTGTTAAAGAGAAGTTGAACAGTGTCCTGTTCCTAGATAGATATTTCTGCCATTAATGTCTTGTTCCTCCTCTATTAGAGAAACAGCTATCTAGGGTTAAACGATGTGCAAAATTGCTCATGAGAAAGAAGCGAAAAACAAGGTGACTTTTTTTTTTTTTTTAAAAAAAGAGGAATCTCACCTGTTGCTTTCTTGAACTTCCCAAATCCTGAGACCTGAAGCTAAACAAGCTAAGATCTACAGCAACTAGGGAAATGTCTCAGCAATGCTGGGGAATTCTGGGAGTTGAAGTTTCCCACGTCTGAAAGTTGTCCAGGATGGGAAACACTGCTCTACTACAAAGGACCAAGAAGGATGCATGAAGAAGACAATTTTTACCAGGAATCTTAGGGGGCGGTAGATAAATCATGATTTAAGATGAGGAAGCATGACTCCTGCCAATAGAAGCTCTAGAAAAAAAGTGGTTAGTTAAAAAGGACTGATAGGCAAATTTAAGGACATAAATGTTCTGAATAAGAATAGAGTACCAACAAAACTAGACATAAAAGTTGCAATGGTTAACTCCACAGAGAGAATTTCCATATCACATCGTACTGATAGCTTATAGCAAGAATATGCAGGCAGTGGTAATAATACCTAGAAAAGGAATCCTGAATAAAATGTGGTATGCCTAAAACCTGCATGGATGAACTAGAAACTATAGTATACAAACTATAAAGACTACAACATTTTTTTAAAGAGAAGAACCTCTTCGGTATTATTACAAGCTACAATTTTTCTACAATCTTTGACACTAACTACAAGCAGATGATATTTAATTTATTACTCTCAGCTGAGATGCTTTTCGGCTGAGATTATCTTTTTCTTTTCATCTTTTATTCATCTGTCATTTTTTAATACACCTGTGGATTTCAAGCTATACCTAGAGGGCAGCCTCAAATTCCATGTCAACATTAGCCACAGGAGGGAACCAAAAGGAGAATCAGGAACTCCTAGAATTAAAGAAAAAATTCCTGATGGTTAGAACAATTAATCAGTGGAACTGCTTGCTTCCAGAAGTTGTGAATGCTCCAACGCTGGAAGTTTTTAAGAGATTGCACTTATTTGAAATATGGTATATAGGGTCTCCTTCTCAAGCAAGGAGTTGGATTAGAAGACCTCCAACTTTGCTATTCTGTCAGAAGGGAACCAGACAATTTCCACTCATGAGAACCTTGTCTTTTTATTCAACATTTAGTCCATTGTGGTGGCTCAGTGGCTAAGACGCTGAGCTTGTCAATCAGAAAGTTCGGCAGTTCGAATCCCTAGTGCTGCGTAACGGAGTGAGCTCCCGTTCCTTGTCCCAGCTTCTGTCAACCTAGCAGTTTGAAAGCATGTAAAAATGCAAGTAGAAAAATAGGAACCACCTTTGGTGGGAAGATAAGAGTGTTCCATGTGCCTTTGGCGTTTAGTCATGCCGGCCACAGGACCACGGAGACGTCTTCGGACAGCGCTGGCTCTTCGGCTTTGTCACGGAGGTGAGCACCACCCCCTAGAGCCGGAAACGACTATGTGCCAGGGGAACCTTTACCTTTAGTCCATTGTGAAAGACAGTGTTCTTGGCTTTGAGGCTTACCTGCTCCAGGCTAATTCTGGGCCAGCAGGCCAACCCAACAGTGAACAATATCTGTACATGGTTTCCTATCTTTCAAGGTCTGTACGATTCCCAGGCACTGCAAACAATCATTAAAAATGCTCTACCCTGACGCAGAAACGTAACGCGGTGAGGAGATCCAGCTTTGAAAATGGAGGTGTCCTGACAGGTTAGATGCAAGAGATGGGATGACTGACAAAGGTCTATCAGAGAACTTAAGAGGTACATCATTCATTTCTTTCACCTGTAAGCACCAAGGTCACCTGGGCTTTTGTTAGCCCAACACGGAGCTGATTTACAGCATCAGCAATATGTCTTCCGTTGCCCATTATTATTTATGATAGGCAAGGAATGGATTTCTCATTTGCGGCCCGCTTACTTAAAATCTTTAAATCATAGCCAGCTTGATGGGACACTGCCCTGTGGCGTCGTTTCTTTATCTGAAGAGCTGCCAGAGAAATTCTCCCCTGGGGACTAACGGATTCAGCAGGGTAGACACAGATACACAAGTGCCTCCCCTAGGCATATTCCAGTGCTCCCAATTTCAGCTTTTTCAAAATGAAATGACACACAACTACATGTGTGCTCCCACCCTCGGCCCCAGAAATGTCAATTTGTACACATCGCCTCCCCACCAATCCCTCCAAGTCATCTTTGATCTTCCTCCAAGTTCGATTTGCATCATTTGCTCGGCTTAATCTAACGGGAATATCTATTTTCCCCCCCTTTCTTTCTCAGAAGTAGTAACCCAGCTCACTAAGCAAGCTATGAAAGAAAGAAAGAAAGAAGAAAGAAAGAAAGAGAGAGAGAGAGAGAGGAAAGGGGGGAGGGAGGAAGGGAGGGAGAAAGAAAGGAAGGAAGAAAGGAAGGAAAGATATCTGCACACTGCACACCAGAACAGCTAGACACAAGAACAGTTTTTTCCCGAAAGGCATCACTCTGCTAAACAAATAATTCCCTCAACACTGTCAAACTGTTTACTAAGTCTGCATTACTGTTACTGTTAATCTTCTCATCACTCC